GTTGCTTGCAAGCATAATTCAGTTTTCTTCATAGGGTTCTGAGTTCACTGTATTCATGTTTGGTATTTTCTGGGACAAAACTCAAAAGCGTAATGCTCCTTTACTTGTCATGCAAAGTGTAAGTTCCAGCTGCTGACTATCTCTTCCACACACAAGAGAGCTTAGCAAGTCCTGTTCATTCTCTCAGAGAGAAGTAGAACCAGACACAGGGACATCCTGAATCCTGGAATAATCTTGCTATTCTTGCAAGTTGCTATAAATATCAAAGCAGCAGCTACTCTTACTGTTTGTTCTCACTTGGGATTGTTGGCGAAGGTGCTGACAGGAAGTTGGCATAGCCTGGATCCATTGGTCTTGCTGCGCATGTACCACATAACTGAGCTGCCTGTGCTTGGTGGCCCCGCACTCTGGATGTCCAGTGGCCATTGTGGAGCTACCTGCCACTTTTGGGAATGCCTGCAGGGCAGCTGCTGTTCTCCTGGGCTGCTTTGTCAGGAAATCACAGGCAGAAGTCTCAGGAGTGTCAGGGAGGAGGAAAATGCATCTAAGTCAACCCAAAAACTTGGTACCCTTATTTGAATGGAACATATTCTGAAAATTCAAGGGAATGGGTACTGTTGGTATGGATGGAGATGTGAAACTCCGTAAGTGTAAAGGTCCAGGATGACCAGTAAACCTAAATACCATACTTGCAATTTAATATAAATGTCTGAGGAGCTGCTGTTGTCTGTGTGTTCTTATCCACAAACTATTGTTTTGATGTTTAAATAAAGACATGAATATTGTCGATTAAACTGTTTTATGAAGCAGTGGCATGTCTTAGACTGTAACAGCTTGAGAAGCACATAACCAAAGAGAGAAATGATGGCAAAACAAGGCTGCAGTCTTTTGGAGTATAATAAAAGAAAAACAAAAAGGAGAAGAGACTTCTTTTTCTGTTGTAGTAAAGTTTTGGAAGACTAAACAACAAGAAAGGAAAACTGTATAGAGGAAGATCTGGCTGCTATAATCTATATGCTTAGGGAATACATTTTTCAGCTTATTTTCAACTTAATGTTTTATAAGCTTAAAAGTGATAAAACAATGGTAGTTAAATTAAGGAATTTTGTATTTTTCTGTCTTTTATTTTTAACAGAGCCTTCTAAAAGCTCTTTTTATTTGTGATGGAAGCTTGTTTTGGTAGTGTAGAACAGATGTTACAGAGCAGGCTGGGCCCCTGGAAATTTTCTTTGTAGTGTGCTATATTAAAAAGAATGGAAGGAAATGAGAGTATAGAAACTCTTGTTCTTCTAGCTGAAGAGCTCATTGCTCCCAGATGCTTGCATGTACCCCTCCTTTCTCATTGCAGTCACTCCATGCAGTGGACTTCTTGCAGTATTTTGGTACATCAGTTTCAAAAGGGAGGTGGAGATTTGTAACCAAGTGTATTGGAAATGCTAGAACATGGTTGCATAAACTTGGAATTGAAGGAGGGAGCCTACTTGGATCAATAACAAACATGAAACATTGTGTTGTGATGGCAGGAAAAGAATCCCAGTCACCTGATTATCAAACCAGTTCTGCACAGCATATAGGCCTCTGAGACTCAGCATAAAAATTTTGACAAAGCTTGATTCTAGTTATGGTATTTTACAAAAGCATATAATTTTTAAGTGATGAAGACATAGTTAAGTGATGAAGCTAATTAAATGTTTTATGATCTGTTTTGCCTGCTTTTGTAGACTGTCTTGGCATCACTGGTACTCAAAAAAGAGTGTAAGGCACTGTAGGACTTGTGTGAGGGTACTGTGTTGTGCTGAGCCAACCATCAGTACAGCTCTAGCAGAGCATGTTAATTTTGTATTAGAATTATGTACCTCAGAAAACGAAAACTACAAGGCATTTGAGAAAAGCCTGCTAGGCTAGGTTTAGTTTGTAAAATGTCCCTCAAGCTGGGGCAGATCCACAGAGGTATTTAAGCTCCCAGCTCCCATCTGGGTAGCAAAACTTGCCTTGAAATATGTGAGGAGTTAAAAAAAAACATGTTTTTGAGAAACTTGGCCCATTATAAAGGTCACTGAGAAGAATGGTAGTGCTGCCTTTAAGTATATTTAGAATTAGAATTAAGTATATTTAGAATTACTCTAAGGAAATCTCCTAATAGAGCTGACACAAGAAAAGAAACACCTAGTAAAAGCTTGTGAAGGGGCTGTGTGTCTCTTCTTCACACCCTTTCCATCTCACCGTATTCTTTTGTTAAGTCCTTCCTTCTGTTTGCGCATTGTTACTATTACACAGCTCTTACTGTATAGCATTAAAAAGCCCCCCAACAATTCAGGCTTTTATAGAATTTAACTCCTGGGATGACTATAGCGCAGTACAGCTTTGATGTAGAAACATGTCACACACCTCCCAGTTGAGTGTTGTAGGCAGCGACGTGAAAATAAACTAAGATGATTTCTGTAGTATCTAAACCAGGGCAACAAAAAAAGCTAACATTTTGCCTGCATTGGATGTGGGTAAACAAAAAGAGTAAAGGGGGGGAGGATTAGCACAAGTAAATAAGTTATAAAAGCTTGCTTGATTTACATCATGTATGTTACAAGAGACATTCCACAGGGAGTAGCATTAACCTACAACAGGGACTGTAGATTTCACTACTAGCTGGCTCTGTTTAGTCTTCAACCCTGTCACACCCAGTATTGGCTATCACTGCTGTTTTGTTAGCAGATGCTGATGTTTGTTAGAGGATGGAAGCAAGCTGTGTGTTTACCATGTAGTAAAAGCCCTGATGAGGACAGCAGTGTACAGGTTCTGAGGAAAAGTGCGCCATTAAGTATGGTATTTCAAGCGGCCAGGAGTCTACAATGCTGTGTTCTTCAGTCTCTGCATCAAAGTGATGCCTCTTTATGGTCTAGGAGCACTGTTGCTGAGAATAACTTTGTGGAAGAAATACAGTCCTGATGGATTTCAGTTCTTTGGGTGTCCCATGGCATGATAGTGTATATCTGTCACTCTTGGTACTTTCTCTCAGTTCTCCCTCTTTGTTTAAATATATGTGATGTATCACTTGGAAGTTTCCCCAACTGAATAAACCTCCTTACTGAAATTAAGTGGGGAGAGAACATGCTAAAATATTCAAAGACCTTTTCTACAAAAAGAAAAAATGTGAATCTTAAGAAAAAACCTTATGGTATAGCTAGGACTTTTTACCATATCGTTGGTAGGGTGAGGAGGTTTGCAGTTTTAATTCATCTTCTGTCACAGCTAAATGTTCCTCCTAGTCTTGTCTTTCCTGTTTACTCCCACGACTGGGTAGGACACAAAGGGTGATGGCTGCCTTAATGTGCCAAGAGAGCTATGTCTGCACTTAAAAGCTCACCCTGTGAGGACTTAACTGCTACCTTGTCCTCCTTACATTGCTGCTTCTCAGAAGAACATCTTGAGAGCTGGGTTTCACAATAAATGAGGCATTCTCATGAGAAATAAACTGGGAATATGTTGGTGTTTTGTGAAACAAATTTCCTTGCAAAATTTTGAGGAGTTCTTCAGTGAAGGAGTAAATGTGTGGCTACTTATATTCATGCCTGTGAGACAGACCATAGCTTTTGCAGTTCTCTTTTAACAATAAAGAATCATATTTTAAATCTTTAGATAAAAGTTGGATTCAATCAATATAAAACAGGAATGCAGGATGCCCACAGAACCCCTACCTTGCAATAAAACTAAGGTGGACCGGATATTCAATATATTATTCCTGTACAAGAAATCAAGGGGGTTTTTTTGCTTATGGGTTTTTCTTAAAAACACACTATGGGTAAGATTTGAAACTAGAGGAATATGGGAATCTTCCTTGCAAGATTAAAGCAGAAACCCCTTACCTCTAAATTATCATGCAGCAAAGAAAGTGGCAGAGCTGGTTTGGCAACTGCAGTATAATTATTATTTTGCTGTTTAATGTTAAGCCTAAATATAAGAATTAATCTTGCAAGGTTCAGACAAGGAATGTAGAAATTATGCAAATGGAATGCTGTGGTGACAGTTGAAACAGTCAGAATTCAGGCTTGGAGTCAACATGTAAATTGTGTGTCTTGCAGAAACTGTCCCCTCCTTGCACTTTAATCACTCTGTCCTAACCTGGGAGGCTTAAATGATCATCAGGATGTAGCTAAGTATATCTTTTTTACAGGAGGTGGTAGGATTGTCCCTTAAATTGTTCATGTTTTTTAAGAATCTTTATCTTGCAGTTCTTTGTGCAGTCAGAGTGAATTGTTTGTGATCCTCGGCAATCAAAGAAGTGAAACCCAAGGATTTAGCAAATTGTCCATTTCAAGATTTGGGGTTTGTTTTAAATTTGCATGTAATTTGACATGGAAACAAATGCTCAGTGTATTTATTTCATCATCCTTTTCACTGAAATCAGAATTTATTTCCGTATGCCTTTGCTAGATAAAGATCTGTATAAACATGAGACTTCTTCCCACCTTTTGTGTCTGCTTGTATTGCTGCAGGAGAAGATGCATGGGATATTGTATTTACCTCTCCAGAGTCCTGTGTGCTCACATCATTGAATATAACGTTTCAGAATTTTCCTTTGAATGGAGAACATTTTTGAAGCATTTCAGCCCAAAAGGGAACTTCTATAAAACCACTGACTTCTGGGTTTAAAAGAACATGGTCACATGGGTCCTAGATAAAATATTGCTGCAGCCATGCTATAAGTTTGAGTAATAATCTTGGTCTGAGACTCACTAGTTAGAGTGTCTGTCTCCTGTCAGCAGGCTTCCTCAGTATCACTGAGAATGTGTTCACCAGTGGTCAGGCACTCTGTGTTGGACCACAAAAGCAAAACATGAAATCAATGAAGGAAGAGCTTACAGAAATGAAGCAGGCATTATTTGGTACATCTTCTAATATGGAAATACTTGTGTAGAACTGACTAATAGTCTGAGGGTGGGGAGGGTTGTATGTCTGCTTCTTTTAAAATACATCTTTTTTTCCCTGTTTGATTTTTTTCTTAGACCTTAGTAATGTCATGAATTCCACTCCAAATATAAAGGCTGTGAATGGAAAAGCTGAAAGTAGTGATAGTGGAGCAGAATCAGAAGAAGAAGGGCTTCGTGAAGAGGAAGAAAAGGAAATGCAGCTAAATGGAAAGGGTATGTTCTCTGCACTTAGACCATTGTTTCTTCTGAAGTTATGCTTTGCCACCTAAGTGGCAGAAAATCATGAATGCTTACTTGTTCAGGAGAATTAGAGGCAAACACATGGAGATGCATGTGTGAAAAAATGGCAGTGTCTCAACCTGGATTATAAGATTCAGAATTAGTACAGATCTGTGAGCTGTGCCATACAATTTTTGACTCGGCTAAAAAGTCTTGTCAATAAGTTAGCTAAAAGTCTATACCCTGTACTTTTTGATGCCAGTGCTGTTTGTGAGAGCTGTGAATCGATACATGGACTGTAACGGTAGAATTGAAAATCGCTTTTTTTTTTCTTCAGAAGAAATAAAACAGAACTTTCAGAGATTCATTTAGGGGGTCCCTAAAGAGTTTTGAGGAAAACCAACATCAAGTGAAAACCAAATGAAATTACATATTTAGCATTCTATACAGGTTTTTACCTCTAAGGACATGAGGATTATTATTATCGTCTGTCTGCCTGACCCAGTCTCAAGGCAGGTGTGTTGCCGAGCAGGGGCACAGATCACGGATGTGGCAGAGAGGCTGCCTGCTCTAGTAAGACCCACGGACTATTACCCACTTCTGGTGATACATGTGGGTGCTAGGGATATAGATAGTAGTAGCCTGGGGAACATAAAGAAGGACTACAGAGCCCTGGGAGAGGTGGTTAAAGGCTCTGGAGCTCAGATAGTCTTTTTGTCTATTCTCCAGGATACAGGGGAGGACCTAAAAAAAGCTAGGAGGATTGGCCAGGTTGATAAACGGTTAAAAGGGTGGTGTCACAGTCAGGGGTTTGGGTGTCTTGAAGATGGGACCCAAGTTTGTAGGCCAGGTCTAGCGGGAGCTGGTGGAGCTGGTCTAGGGAAAGAGCAGTTTTGGTAGGAGGCTTGCCAGACTGGTCAAGGAGGCTTTAAGCTAGATGTGTTGGGGGAGGGGGGCATCATTCCATCCCAACACACCCTGTCAGTTGCCAGCACCTATAATAAATGCTTGGACCAATGCAGAGATATTCCGGCTGCTCCAGCCAATGAGCCGGCTTCATTTGGAGCTCGGCTCAGATGCCTCTATACAAATGCCCGTAGCATGGGGAACAAACAAGAGGAATTAGAGATGTGTGCACATCTACGGGGGTATGATATAATAGGCATCGCAGAAACATGGTGGGATGGCTCCTATGACTGGAGTGTTGGAATGGAAGGTTACAGACTCTTTAGAAAAGACAGGCCTGGCAGGCGCAGAGGGGGAGTTGCCCTTTATGTTAGGGATAGGCTGGAGAGTATGGAACTCTGTCTGGGGACTGGTGAGCAGTTAACAGAGAGCTTGTGGGTCAGGGTTAAAGGGAAAACAGTGATGGGAGACATTACTGTGGGGATCTGTTATAGACCACCTGATCAAGAGGAATCTGCGGATGAAGCACTCTATAGGCAGATAGGAAAAGCCTCACGCTCACAGGCCCTCGTTCTCATGGGTGACTTCAACCACCCTGACATCTGTTGGAATGACGGTACGGCCCGGCACAAGCAATCCAGGAGGTTCCTCGATTGTGTGGAAGACAACTTCCTTCTGCAAGTAATAGAGGAACCGACAAGGAGAGGTGCCATGCTTGACCTCGTGCTCACCAACAGGGAAGGGCTCGTTGGAAATGTGGCACTCCAGGGCAGCCTTGGATGCAGCGACCACGAGATGGTTGAATTTGAGATCCTCAGGACAGTGAGAAGAGCGTGCAGCAAGCTCACTGCCCTGGACTTCAAGAGAGCAGACTTTGGCCTCTTCAGGAACCTGCTTAGTAAGGTTCCATGGGATATAGCCCTAGAGGGCAGGGGGGCCCAAGACTCTTGGTTGGTCTTCAAGGATCACCTGCTACAAGCTCAGGAGTGTTGCATCCCAACTAGAAGGAAGTGCAGCAGGAGGGCCAGGAGACCTCCTTGGATGGATAAGGAGCTGCTGAGGAAAATTCAAATGAAAAAAGAGTCTTATAGAAAGTGGAAGCAAGGACAGGCGGCCTGGGAAGAGTACAGGGATGTTGTCCGGGAAGCTAGGGACCAGGTTAGGAAAGCTAAGGCCCAGTTAGAATTAAACTTGGCTAGGGATATTAAGGATAACAGGAAGGGATTCTACAGGTACATAGCAAATAAAAAACAGACTAGGGAGAACGTAGGCCCCCTCAGGAAGCTCTCGGGTGAACTAGCTACACAGGATTTGGAGAAGGCTGAGGTTCTGAATGACTTCTTTGCCTCGGTCTTCTCTGGCAAAGGCTCTGACCGCACCACCCAAGTCTTGGAAGGCAGACGCAGGGACCATGAGAATAAAGACCCTAGGCCCACTGTAGGAGAGGAACTGGTTCGAGACCATCTTAAGAACCTGAACACACACAAGTCCATGGGACCTGATGAAATCCATCTGTGGGTCCTGAAGGAGCTGGCGAGTGAAGTTGCTAAGCCACCGTCTATCATATTTGAAAAATCATGGCAGTCAGGTGAAGTTCCCTATGACTGGAAAAAGGGAAATATAACCCCCATTTTCAAGAAGGGGAAATGTATGACCCAGGGAACTACAGGGCAGTCAGTCTCACCTCTGTGCCTGGCAAAATCTTGGAGCAGATTCTCCTGGAAGGCATGCTAAGGCACATGAAAAACATCAAGGTGCTTGGTGACAGCCAGCATGGCTTCACTAAGGGGAAATCCTGCCTGACCAATTTGGTGGCCTTCTATGATGGGGCTACGGAACTGATGGACAGGGGAAGAGCAGCTGATGTCATCTACCTGGACTTGTGTAAAGCGTTCAGCACTGTCCCACATGACATCCTTGTCTCTAAATTGGAGAGACATCAATTTGATAGATGGACCACTCAGTGGATAAAGAACTGGCTGGACGGCTGCGCGCAAAGTGCTGTGGTCAATGGCTCAATGTCCAGCTGGAGACCAGTAACAAGTGGTGTCCCTCAGGGGTCAGTGTTGGGACCGGTCTTGTTTAACATCTTCGTCGCTGACATGGACAGTGGGATTGAGTGCACCCTCATCAAGTTTGCCGATGACGCCAAGCTGTGTGGTTCGGTTGATACGCTGGAGGGAAGGAATGCCATCCAGGGGGACCTTGACATGCTTGTGAGGTGGCTGATGTCAGCCTTATGAAGTTTAACCATGCCAAGTGCAAGGTCCTACACCTGGGTGGGAGCAATCCCAGGCACAGCTACAGGCTGGGCAGAGAAGAGATTTAGAGCAGCCCTGCAGAGAAGGACTTGGGGGTGTTGGTCGATGGGAAGCTTGACATGAGCCGGCTTTGGTGTGTGCTTGCAGCCCAGAAAGCCAACCGTATCCTGGGCTGCATCAAAAGGAGCGTGACCAACAGGTCGAAGGAGGTGATCCTGCCCCTTTATTCTGCTCTCCTGAGACTTCACTTGGGAGTATTGTGTGGAGTTCTGGTGTCCTCAACATAAGAAGGACATGGAATTGTTGGAACAAGTCCAGAGGAGGGCCACGAGGATGATCAGGGGACTGGAGCACCTCCTGTATGAAGATAGGCTGAGAAAACTGGGGCTGTTCACCCTGGAGAAGGCTGCATGGAGACCTCATAGCAGCCTTCCAGTATCTGAAGGGGGCATATATGGATGCTGGGGATGGACTCTTCATTAGGGACTGTAGTGATAGGACAAGGGGTAACGGGTTTTAACTTAAACAGGGGAAGTTTAGATTGGATATAAGGAGGAAATTCTTTCCTGTTAGGGTGGTGAGGCGCTGGAATAGGTTGTCCAGGGAGGTTGTGAATGCTCCATCCCTTGCAGTGTTCAAGGCCAGGTTGGACGAGGCCTTGGGTGATACGGTTTTGAGCGAGGTGTCCCTGCCCATGGCAGGGGGGCTGGAACTTGATGATCTTAAGGTCCTTTCCAACCCTAACTATTCTATGATTTAATTTATCAGAGAGACCTACTTGGGATTTCCTTTAATTTGTTTTAAATATCATCTGCTTTTTGTGCAAGTTAAACTTGATATTTACACTTTTTACAAGAACAGAACAATCCCTGCAAATGCAAATCTGTTTTGTTCTGCAGATACGTTGTACTTAGTCCGTCAGAGTTAGCTACTTGAAGAAATGTTTTGAGTATTGCGGGCATAGCGTTCTATTTGCAAGGTTTTCTTGTTCTTTTACAGACTATAAGAATGTGAAACCAGAATCAACAAATGCTAAAGATTTCGAAGGTGTTGTTACTAATGGTAGTTACAAGGACAGCCTTATCGCAGACATGCAGAATGGCATCCAGAGCAAATCTGCCCTGAATGGCTTGAACCCAGAAGAAGAAATAAAGAAAACTGAGCCAAGCCTAGAAATAGTAAACAGCACCCAGCAAGGTATTGTCCCCGGAAGACCATGTTTTCATTTGCACATATTTTTCATGTCATTCTCAAAGGCTGAACACATCATACATGTCAGTTTGTTGAAACTGATGTCTTAAATGTAACATTTTAAAGCTAACTGATAATTTCAGACAAAACTTTTATACTGACCTTAGGAAGGAGAGTAAATCAGCAAGGTAAAATTAAAATTATCAGCCTGTAAGGCACAAGTGCCAGTGTGAGGCATAGTTTTCCAATTAGTAAAACTTTTATATAATTCCTGTGTTAATATAACCACTTTATTCAGAATCTAACATGGCAGTTGTAGGTAAATGGGGCATGAGTTGAAGCTCACCTAGACATTTTAACTTGCTGCTTTCCTCTTTGCCAGGCTCAGCTCACATTTACAAAGCATGTGTTAGTATGTCCTTTCTGTACAGGTGCAAATGAAGAGAGTAATGAAGAGATCTCAGCAACTCAGCACTTAACCAGTGATTCAGACAGTGAAGTTTATTGTGACTCTATGGAGCAACTTGGACTAGAAGAGGTAGGGGCTTGGTATTTCTAGGTGTAGTTTTGAGAGTGGTGTGATTATGTTTAAATAGGCTCCTATCTATCAGGTGAACCTGAACGTGCAGTGGTGAATGAGGTAACTCATATATACCTTTCTCCTGCTTGGAGTATTGTTTTTCATTTTTTTTTGTCATCAGTCTTTTACAAGTTGGTTACTGCTGATCTAAAAGCTGTGCTATCTTTTCCCTCAGAGAATTTATGTGAGGAGAAAATACAACAAACCAACAGTACAAAGAAACTAAAGGCTGTGTGCACAAATGAATTTAGGGTCTCATAATATATGCAGGGACCAGAATCCAGCTATCTCTGAGAAGTAGTGTCTTTGTAACAATGAGCTTTTTACATGCTCTTTTTCTGGCCTGATGAATCCTGTATTTGTTTCTAAGAATAAGTAAATAGCAAGATTTAGCAAGTGGCCTGTAGGCCAGTGCCTGAAAGTGGCCTAGGTCTGGAGAAGATGACAGCGAATTCTGGGTTCTCTTGTGCTCTCTTCAGCCATAATGTACATCTCCAACTTTCATACGAGAAGTGGGTACCAACTATGCTGGCTTACTTTTGACTGAATCTGTGCTCCTGCTCATTGTATTAACTGCAGTCGTCGTTGACTTTACTTGCCTGGACCTTCTTCACAGGTCCAGTTTAAGTGTGGACTCTGTAGTTAAACCCCTAGTTTCCTGATTCTGGGGATGAATATATGAGTGATGCATGGGTTTGGAAAGACCAGTAAGCACACTGATACTGCATCATTCTGTTGCCTGGCTGTTCCCTGAGGATCTAGAGAATTCCTTTTAGCAAATCAGAATTTTACCCAGTAGTGAATCATGTTGGGAAAGCTGATTTGGTAGAAGTCTGTCCTGCAAGCTCTCTGATCTGGGTGATTTCCCAATCATCCTGTGCATCGTTCAAGCTTGCTTGAGATTCTTTAATTGGAGCGGGCAGATAGTCTGTCAGAATTTCCCAACCTGTGTGAGAAAATTTCTGGTTTTGAACAAAATAACAAATGTTCAGGTGTATGTAAATAAATATACAAGTAGAATACAGATGGATTAATTCAAACTAGAAGAGGTTCATTTAAAGAATTAACTAGAGCTTTTTAGTGGAAAAGCTGTAGTAAGCACTCTGACCTTCAGTTCTGATGATCCAGTTTTTATGAACTGCTGTCTGACAAACAGGATTTTGCAGTAGTTTCCATTTATTTGCCCCTTCTTTTGGTTATTCTGGCTCTTTCATGGAGTTATTCTTCAGCTATCTGAGGTTCCCATTCTGCTTAAGCATATGCTTGTGCAAGTGCTTGTGCTTGTGCTGAACAAAGGGTTGCTTGAGCGACCTTAAGGCAGTCCTGTTGCAGAACATGTAATCATGACCTGATCAACACATATTTCATCCATTTTTAATATCTTCCTACAGAAGCACTGATTTTAAGTGAGACGTTGATGAATTCTGTGCCTTCCTTTTGTTTGGTGAGAGGCACAGGGTGCAGCCAAGCTGTTTTGAACATGTTGGTCATAAGCAACGTGATCTGTGTGCCGTGAGTGTAAGCACTGCCTACTCAGGGTTCTTAGTAGCACGTGACATTTAACCACGTGGCTCAGGAATCCAAGTTGGGATACCACTTCCCTGTCTAGGAAGCAAAGCCAATTTTAAAAGGGGAAACTGAGCATTTTTAGATCTTCATGTTCAATTTCACTGATTAATCAGTATTACTGCATGTTGGAAATGTCTAAACTAACTCCAAGTGGTATCAAAGTTTTGAGCATACTTGCCTCAAATACCTTCTCAATCTGAACAGGACGTTTAGACAACAGTAAGCACATTCTACTGCCTTTGTTAAAAAAAAAAAAGTGTGAATGTTGGGTGGACTGTTTTTTTAGAGATGATGCTTCTTCCTTTTTATTGGTTACCTGTCACATTTTACAGAATTTAATGACTTGCTAATGTTAATTTGTAGCCCTTGGAGATCATCACATCAGCTAAAGGATCTTTAAAGCATTCATCCCATTCCTTGGATGTAGATCACAGTGTTCTATTAGAAAATACGGATTTTCCAAAGCGCACTTGCATAACTTATGAGAATCATCAGCCTGGAAGTACTGTAGAAGGAGCAGCTCAAGAGCAAGGTGAAGTCAAGTGTGGAGGAGAAGATGGCAAAGCCAGTAATGGGGGCCCTCAGAAGGAGAAGAAGGGTGAAGATAAAGCAGATTTCTACAGTGTCAGAAGAGGGAGAGGTACTGTGCACACTGCTTTTGTGTTCCCACTTTCCTGACTGCCATAAGTTACTGGTGTCTGAGAAGCACTTGTCAACATTGTCCATTGCTATGTAGTGCTTCTGTCCTTCACAGTAAAAATAGATAACAAAATACTAATTACAATGGGTAGCAATCAGTTTTATCTTCAGAGTATTTATTTCATTCATAGTAAGTATTACAAAAGGATTTTCTTGTGCTGTGGAGGTCTTGTGTATAAGCATATTGGGTTCTTCTGTTTTGGCTTCCCTTAAATTCCAGCTGCTGTTAATGGCACCTGTCTTTGTAGAAACATAATCTTCAAAACCTGTCTGTGCATGAGAAGAGTTTCTTTATAAGTTGCATATTTATTTTTAAATTCATATGCATTTATACGTCTTGATTTGAAAATATAGACAGGTATTTGTTTCTTATTTGAAACCATGGAACATCTTGGATAGGTATCAGTGACACAGTGTTTTCTGTGTTAATTGGGGTGTTAGCCACACCTTTGTGTGATTCTGATACCATCTATTATGATACTTAAAACTTAATGATTCTTAGTGACATAATAGTCCAGATGTTCAATTTATGTTGGGCCTCTGCTCTTTTTAATGCCATAATACTTCTAATACTGTTACCTAGGAGCAGCACCATATTCCAGTAGTATGATCTGTAAAGCCAAAGATAAAGTTGTAGTAAAAACAAAAGGCCAGAAAGTATTTTATTATATATAGCATGCCTTTTTGTATGGCATCTATATGTAATCAGATGCAAAAAGTGAAAAAGAAAATCCAAATATAACACTTATGTTGAAAACTATGAAGAACATGTTATAGATTAGCCATCTCCCTTTCTCTTTTGTTGTTGTTTTACTTACGTTTGATGTGTGCATACTAGACCTATGTAATTTAAAGGAGTATTGTAGGATTCAAACAATCATCTTTTCTCATCACTCAATTCTGGTGTTTGTTTTCCAGCTGGAGACTGTGCCAAGCTTAAAACACGCCTCCCCTTGATAATGAGACAGATTTTACTTCCTTTTCACTAGGGCAGAATTTATTGCTGAACTTGACTGGATGTGAATTAGTACTTTTTTGCTAAATGTTTATGCAGTTCCAGGACCAGAATGATACTGTCACACTGAGGCTGTAGGGAAACCCCTCAGATGATGGTGCAGTGACCTCCTGGTGCTTTTGAACTGTCTGAACACAGCCTGTAATTAAGAGCACTACACTCAGCTCGGGAGGGAGAAAACCGAACTGTTAACATCAAACATTTTCAGTGGAATTGGTAGCCCATTCTGTAGTTTATGTATCTGTTTTTTTATCCCTCAAAACAGGGCATAGACTTCAGCCTCTAGGAGATGGTTTGCAAGGTGGACAGATGGGTAGTGGAGGGGATGGAGAGCGCTGGGGATCAGAGAGGGCACCCAGGGGAAGCCTCAATGAACAGATTGCAGTAGTGCTGATGCGGTTGCAAGAAGACATGCAGAATGTCCTCCAGAGGTTGCATATGTTGGAGACGGTTACAGCATCACAGGTATTATTCATTGAAGCTACTTGATTACTCTCTATTAAATTTCCTTTGATATTTTTATGCTTTTTCAGATTAAATTTTCAAACAATATTTTCATAAACTGTGAAGACATTTCAGTTGTATTCTGTAGTTGATTCCAACTTAAAATTCCTTATTGGTATCTATTCTCAGGAACACAATTCAGGACGCTCATAGATGTGAGCAAACCCATGTATTTTGAGCTAGAAATTAACCACACATTATTTTACTGATTTCTGATCAGAGTAATCTTAGCCATAGTTGTTTACACATATTGCACAGTCATTATATAGAGATTCCATAGTTCATGTAATACATGGTAATTTCTTCATCAGTAGATCGCAAAGCATTTTCAAAGGAAGTCAGAAATTACGTTAATCTTCCAGACTGGTAAATGTTTGCAGGTAGAACTTCTGATTCCATTTTCAGTTAGCAAAAGACTGCTTCATCATAGCATTCTTTCCCCATGCAGTAATCCAGCTTTCTTGGAATTTCACATCATGTATACAAAATAGGCAAAAGAAGTCTTAAGCAAGTGTAGATATTTATTGATGTAGTGTTTGTTTTTCCTTCTGTTTCAATAGAAGCACTGTATATTCAGAAGAACGGAATATGCTGTGAATATGGTTGAACCAGGAATATAAAAATGTTTGGGTCTGTTTGACTTCCTGATATTTTGATCTACCTGAGTATAAAGTATCCTATGGGATGCATGTACTCCAAATCTTAGGCCACTAGGGAAAAGGATTTAGTAAAACCATGTTTTTGCTCTGTCACAACTATTTAAGCATCTGATGTTTGGATATAGAATCATACAATCAACTAGATTGGAATAGACCTTTAAGATCATCAAGTTTGATCATTTTCCCAGGACTGCCAAGTCCAACACTAAACCATGGCACTAAGGGCCTCATCTACGTGGGTTTGGGCAGCCTGTTGTAATGCCTTGACTACCCTTTTGGGGAAGAACAGACTGTTTTATCTTTCTGCCTAAGCAATATATGATGAAATAGTAAAAGACCCTTCAGCAGTTCATGCTCTGCTTGCTACTCTTACCTAAAGAGAAACAGAAGCTTCTGCTTCACACTTACATAAATAAGAAAGACCTAGAAAACTGACTGCTTTGTTTTTCTGGAAACACCTCAAGAGTGTATGGGAATAGTCTTGAAAAGTTTCTGGTACTTCTCACTTTCTTGATTGCCTGGAAGATTCTCTTTCCTTTAGACATGCCTGTAGCTATAGCTCAGGGCAGACTAAACCAGTGCTTTCGCCTTTGTACCGACCGGTGTTGAAACATGTAATTGTGCAAATTAAGCTACTGGGATTTCTACTCTGGGTTGCAGGTGCTGGGACTGGACAAGAGTTGAGAAGGTTTCAATGACAAGTTGGGCAGGGGGGGCTTGAAAAACTGGATAGAGGCCCAGTGAGTGACACTTAACGCATTTTTTTAACACAGAGAGATGTGATAAAAATGCCAGAAAGAGTACTGGAAACTTAAGTGGTGAAAGGGGGTTGTATGGAGGTGGTTCTCTGATACATACAGATTGCAAAGCCTTCATGAGATGAAAAACTTCATATTCTCATTTTTTTTCTGAAGCAGAAAAAAATTTGGTTGCAGTTTCTTTTTCTCATACTTATCAGCCTTTGTTTGTATTTAAAGGCAAAATCTGCAACACTACAGTCAAATTGTGAGCCCGCCTCCTCTGTCAAGGTAATAAAATATTGCTTTTTCTATTTGTAAAAAGCAGTGTGAATGGTGAAAAAGATGAGATTAATATTTTATATGTAACTTTTGATACATGCTTTTCGTACTTTGACTATGAGATAATAATGTGTGTCTGAAGAAGCTATTCAATAGATTAATCTTTCTTTTCTGGTCTTACTAGTATTTTCTACTTTGATCCTGCAGCATTTGCAGTAACTGAGAAGTACACATGCATATTGGGTATGTGCACACAGATTGCTGACTGGATTTTTTTCTGTTTCCTGCAGAAACCATCATGGTGGCCCTTTGAAATCTCCCCTGGTGTTTTAGCTTTTGCTATTGTATGGCCGTTTATTGCCCAGTGGTTGGTACACGTGTATCTTCAAAGAAAGCGAAGGTAAAGGCGCACATTCAGTAGGGCATATATCCGGTATTTCAGCTGCTGAAACCAATATGTAGCATATTGTGTTATTGAGACAGGACATAAAATACCGCCTTAATGGGAAGAAGAATGCAAGGGAATGCTTTCAATAAGGCTTTGGCAGTGTATCTGAAACATCAGGTCAGTATTGAAGAGGAGCTAATTGCTTTGATAAATCCTATTTCCTTGAGTTTCAGGACACACCTCGCCTAGTGTTCCACTGTATGTACTGGGGACTCATAGCTCTGAAGATACCAGGCTAAAGCAGATTGTAGAGTCCTTGGTATGGTTATGATAGGAAGGTGTATGTTTCAGTCCCAAGAACTCAAGCCAAATGTGCAAAAAGAAATCCTGGAAGCTAGTAGGAGTACCTTCTACTAGCTGGGAATTCTAGGAAGAGACATGTATCATTTTCTTTGCCTTGAAATATTCTCAGCTTAAGAAAGTACTGGTTAATTGGTCTTTATATATGGTATACTATATATGTGGCAATTTAGGTTAAATCCATGAAACATAATGCAGGAGCACACACAAGTGGGTGAGGCTTGATAGCTTCAAGTGTCTCCATGACATTCTTTGACCCTGCCACTCCCAATATCCTCTTGAGCCATTTTCACTGTTCCTAGACTCCTTAGTCCCCTTATGCCATTAGAAAATCTATTCCTATCAAATCCTTTGCAGAGTTACATCTGTCACCTTTTTCTTATTTAACATTTACCAGCACCATTGACCTGCTTTGCCACTAGGGCATGTTGCTGGCTCATATTCAGTTTCGCGTTCACCAGGACCACGAGGTCCTTTTCTGCCAAGCTCTTCCCAGGTGCTGGACTTGGCACTTCCACTTGCACTTCATGAGGTTCCTGTCAGCACGTTTCTCCATCCTATTGCAGTCCCTCTGGATGGCAGCACAGCCCCCTGGCATATCAGTCACTCCTCCCAGTTTTGTGTCATCATCAAAGTCGCTGAGGGTGCACTCTGCTCCACCATCCAGACTATAAACAAAGATGTTAAACAGGACTGGACCCAGCATCAGCCCCTGGCACACACCACTAATTACTGACCTCCAACTAGACTTTTGTCACTCACCAGTCACCACCCTCTGGGCCCAGCCCATGATGATGTAGACAAAGAATGTCCACAAGGGCTGCTGGGGAGTTACCCTGTCTCAGAGCTGTCATCAGCAGCATTGGTGTAACTTGCACTGTCTGATGAAACCAGAGATTTCACTTGGGCTTTCAGACACTTACACTCATCTTCCTTATTATCTGCACCGGTAAGTAAACATTTCAATTTCATCAGCAAGGACAAAGGTTTTTAGAATCAATATAATTGTGGTTTTAGTATCTTACCTGAAACTCCTATGAACTTTCGTGTTGTTTAGCTAATAGCTTTCAAATGGCTGTGTTCAATCTCTGTCAGTAGTATCCTGTTCTTGTACAACTGTTTTGATCATCCATTCTGACCTCTGTAGCTCTTGCAGTCATTTCACAGATTCAGTCAGAAATCAGTTTTTGGAAAAGCACATTTTTTCCAGCAATTTTTCTAATATTGTTCTAATGGTTCAGAGCTTAAATGATTAAACAAACGGTGTTCTTCTTATTTGGCTTTCTCTATCTTCACCTTTCATCCATTGGGTTTTCCTAGAACTTTATCTACTTGCCAAAGAGCCCATTATGTGTTTTCTGTGGGTACTTTATTGCTATCACCAGGTCATCTCTCAATCTCTTGCTCAAACAAAACAGTTGGAACAACTGGAATCTCATTTTAAAGCTGTTTTCCAGTCTTGGGATGATTCTGGTGGCTCTCTCCTGAATCCTCCACAGTTGATCGACATTCTTTGTGAGTTCTGGACAACAGGATTTGTACCACAGTCCACTAACAGTAATACCAATATCTCCATGAGACACAGAGATAGTGTAGCCCCAGACAGTCCTTGTTTTGTTTACTCATTCATGGATTGTATTAACATGAGATGAGCTTCAGGAACAGAAGCAACTAAGGAAGTTTGTATTCTTCAGTTTTCCTCTTGGTTTCTGAATAAATCTACCCATAGCCAGAATTTAGGGACTATCATCTGCTCCTGCACCGCCTTTCCATCTCTTGGCAGTGGGTAGGAAGTTTCTCAAGTACACTTAGAGAGAAAATGGAATTGCAAAACAAGAGCCCTTATGTGTTGCCCCAATGCCAGTTTCAGCTTATGCTCTGTAGAGATGTGTCAGCTTTTAGGCAACACGTGTACACAGTGCATATGTTCAGCATATCCATGTACTATTGGTTTTAAATACATTAACTGTCCTCAGCTAGTCTCTGCTACCAGGTGAGGTTTTTCTCATTGTGAAGCTGGGAGCCATGACTCCTGAACTCTCCTGCATAATGGAGCAAATTCCATGGAACTGGTGGAGTTAAACGTTCTGTAGCCAGCAGCTTTGTGTTTAGCTCATGTCCCTGGGAATGGGCAGCTCAGCTCACTCTTAGCACCCTTCTGCACGGTTTAGGTTTTCTGAGCCTCTTAACCTGTCTCATTCCTGTACAGGGAACTTAATGCTGAAAATCTGGGTACTCGTACTGGAGCCTTCACTGAGAAAAGCTTGAAAACCTAAGGGCTCCAAACCTGACCACAGATAGAAATGTATTCTTAATAATAATAGAGACTTGTTTAGATTTGGCTCACAGTTTTAGAACAGTCTGATTGCACGTTGCCTGGAGTCACTGGAAACTCATAAGCATTGCTCTGCTGTGAGCTAGCAAACCACTGACGGGTGTAGTCAGGGACTGACCTGAGGAATTTCGTCTGCAGTTCAGAATTCCTAGTGGTACTTCGTGCTCCTCGGTGTAAGCTGTGCCAGCTCAGTAACCTTGCAGATAGTTTTGTAACCTCAGAGGGCAGATTTTTCAGGTATCTTTAAACAGTGTTTTTGTGGTTTAATAGATGGGAAGTCTTCACAGGTGGGCATAATAGGGTTGGGTTTTTTAGATGAATGAAAAATCATCTTCTTTGTGAAGGTACATTAAACTAGTGTATTTGATTCCTCTTCTAGAAAACTGAACTGAGAACTCATGACTTTGCTTAAAGACACTTAGAAGATGGCCCTGGAAAGTGCAGGAAATCTGAATTCTCATAGAATCTCAGAATCTGGATGAAGTTCCTTCTGATACAGTAATATTTTGTACTGCCTTTGAGCTAAACATTTAAGGACTAACATTATTCAAACTTGAATGATTCACAGCTCCTAGGTTACAAGTAAATTTAATAATAATTTCATCCTCAAAACCATATGAACAGTAATTATTTTGGAATATGCTTGTGGATGGTCCTTCAGAAACTACTGGTCTTGCTGATGTCAGATGATGAAAAGGACATCATCTTTGTAAAAGAGTAAGTGAAGAATATGTACACTGTCACTTTAATATAATTTTACAACAACAACATCCCTGCCTGCTTTTCCACCGGATTACTTTTTACCAGATGAAAGCACTAACAAAGTATGAATTCAATATATTGTAAGCTGTTGGGAAAACACAACATAGCTCTGACGAATTCAACTGGTTATTTTTGCTGCTAAACCAGCGTGGGGGCAAACTTCCATGCACAGTGGTCAGAATGGAAGTTGGACCCTTTGTTTCTCCTTAAAGATTGCAAAGGAGATTTGGGAATTGGTACGTGTCTCACAAGTTACAGCCATTAATAACAAGGGACTGTCAAATACAAGTTTGGAAACCAAGTGTGCTACCCCATGTAAAGGGACCCATGTAAAGGGGCTGCGCCTTACGTTTGTAACTTTGAGAATGTGTTCTTGTTGATGACAGCTTAAGTGAAATATAGTTTAGGCACAAGGTGCTTTAAAATGAGGTGAAAGCTAATGCTGTAAGTATAGCTCTAAGGTTTTAAAAAGCTCAGTGCACTCTTAAGTTTTCTGTTGTCAGTTTATGTCAAACTAAAGTAAGATTTACTAGATTAATGAGTCTATTAATTAATTGCCCAAATCTATTGTGGACTTTTCCCAAGCCACGTTACGAAAAATATCAGTTCTGGTATTTCCTTCGCTTATATCCTTCTACTTTCTTTCAAAACAAAACTTTTCAGCTCACTTTGGTGCTGATTTTTTTTTCCACAGAGTATTTATTACCCAATATACCGTGTTACAGCCTTGTGAAGTTTACTTGATCAAAGCATGCTTTACACTTAATTTTAAAATAAATTAATATATGAGCAAGTTGTCTAAATCTCCGGAGAAGGGAAATGCACTAAAATTAGATTTGACAGAAAACAAAGACATTGATTTGCTATGAAGAATTACATCATAACATAAGCCATGTTTAAAATCTGAGCCTTCAGAAATGTCTCCGTATTACTGATATGCTTTAATTCTCCACTTGAACTAGATATTACAAGTAATTTTTAGGAAAGTTATTTTTTGTCCTTCCTGAAAATCTTTTCTAGTTTGGAAAACATTTTTCATACAAACTATGCTGTATAAAAATGTAATCATAGAATTTACTGTTTGTTTTACCAGAACAATTTTAATCTTGTTCTTAGTTAAGTGCAGTTTTCTTTTTTAGTTACTTTTTCCCTTGTCTGATTTTCTTACTGTAAAGCTAAATTAAAGAATAAAACGGTCAGAACCTCTCTGAAGGCTGCTGTATACTGATCCAATGGTTTTGTGGGCCAGACATAAGTTGTGGCATCACCTGTACCAAAAACTCAGGTTTGAACAAAACTTTTGCTGGGAGGGAAGTTCTGCTGGGACCTAAAGCCATTGTGTCTGTAGCATAAAGTTCTGAGAGTGCGTCATTTCTTATCATGATTACACAAGAAGGGTGCTCTAGGTTGAAGGTCACTTCAAGAAAACAGTCTCCTGCCGCACCTCATTCACAAGGTTACATGTAGGTGTCCAGCTTTTAGAGATGGTACAGAGCATCTCCAAGGTACTTAACTGTTAACTTCCCCCTGACATGTAGGCATGTGCCATCCTTGTTATTTATTGGCTCAATAAATCACTTGGTATTTTGTATTTTATCTGGAACTTTCTTCATGTTCAGTGCATGCTGGACCATGGATGCTTTGGCTGCACAGAAGAGCCTGGTATCCATTATTATAAAGACATGATCTCACTCTTAAAAGCTGTAATACAAACTTGTAATCGTTTACTTGTAAGTCATAACTGGGCCTCAGGTACTAGGGGTACCTATAGCACACTGTAACTTGAACACATACTACTTCGCTGGTATTTAATCTGAAAGGTAAGGAAAAGTAATGTATTTTTTACAAAGACACAGCTTTAACTTAGAGAAAATGGCATAATCAGGTCATCAGCACTCAGAACTGGAACATGTTGTTTGAGCTGAGGCTCTCCTTAGGAGGGGTGGCAGTCAGAACAGCTCTGTACAGCAGCACCACAAACAGTTTCGGAAGTGCAGGTTTGAGCTGGCTCCAGTTAACTGCAGCAACTCAGACTTCATCTAAGCATCATAGGCTTGCTCTGGATGAAAGCAGATGAAGATATTCCACCTACAAATAGGCATTCAGGTGAGGGAACCTGAGCAGAGCTGAGGAGCAACATGTGCAGGGGCAGCTCTGTCTCGGGCTCTGGTTCTGCAGCACCACAGCAAGTGTTGATGGAGATACTATCAGGTATTTCTGTACTTCAAATCCCTGTCTTTGCTGGGGTGGGGGGCAAAGCAGACAGGGTTGCATTGTGCAGAAGTCCAGCTTCTGCCCTCAGCAAGGTCAAAAGTATCAGTGCTAAGGAAGAAAAAAAACCCCACCACCATAATGCAGAAGCCAGCCACAGCAGGGCTACAGTGTTTTATTTTATATATTTATACAATTGTGCAAAGTAAGGGTTTGTTTTGAGAGTATGTAGTAGAGGAAAAGAGGAAAGATTTTGAGTAGAGACGAAAAGAATGCATTTTACTGTAAGAGTAACCATAAGTAAACCTGATCATGCTGAACCTGGAACCTACTAGCTGAAGAAGACATGACAGCATTTCCATACCTCAGCCTCCAGCCACCACGCTGTGTGTAACAGCAAGCTACTGGTGGCTGCAGCTGTCCAAGACTGCTATCTCCAGGTAAGAACGTATGACTGTTACTGATCTCTACAGTTGTTCACACACTTCTGTCCAAATAATAGCTAATAAACTGTACCCCAACATAACCTGGAAACAACAAAATTGAGGTGTACATTATGCACATGAAGTTTAGGCCTTCAAGAAATGCAGTGCAACAGCTGGAATACATGCCAGGTGGTATCCATAGCTTCAAAGTGTTAAGCTTCCACCAGCTTACACAAATAGCTGTAGTTAATTACTGATCAGAAGAAACTTTACATCTTTCAGCTATATTACAGCTTGTACTTTTGCCTGGAAGTCAGTCAATTGACATTTTAAGTCAATAAGTGGAGCAAAACCAGCACAATTGAAAGTTAACATTGAATTCCATGTTGAAGAACCCCCGAAAGAAACACCCCAACAGGCAAAACCACACCACAACCCCCAACAATCAACATGTGAAATTCAATTCCACATTGCTATGATGAGGATAAATGCAAGACATCAAGGACAACAGGGTACTGCAAGTCTTAAGTGCTGCTTGTGCAGAATTTAACAGCTCCTGGCAGCAGTGTGGTGGTAACTGGTCACATTAAACATTCTGGTTTGTCAGGCAGCCTATTTATTGTCGTACAGAACTCATGGGTTTGTATTGTATTATACAACTAGGGTAGAACAACCATAATTTTCTTTTAAAATAAAGGTTTTTATACAAAGACTTGAGGCTTTCATAAAACAGAAAGTTAACAAGGTTTTTTCTATGCCCAGTGTTTTGGTGGAGCAGCAGCTCTGGCTGTGTGCACTAGCACTGGATTCCCTAAAAGACTTTAATCAGTTCTGTAACTCACTGTAATTGATAAAGAAAAGCTTTTGATAGAAGCTTGCTTTGACCCTTGCAGCTGATTGACAATTATTTCAAGGGGTTGTCTTTAACATGTCATACCCCTGCAATGAGGGTTTTGTGCTGCAAGAGAAATGTATGATACACAAAATGGGAACAGGCTGTAAACATTTAGTAAAGTACTGAAGACCCACAGCTGCTGTGGTGTTGTTTCCATTATTTCCTTACACATTTTTGGAGTATTTTCCTCAGCATGAAACAGGTACATCTTTGTACAGCCTAAGCTTTCTTAAACCAGATTACTAGAAATGGAAGAATAAGTTACATGAAATACCAGCAATTACTTCAGGTGTTCCCTAAGTTTATATATTCTGACTTTACACAGGGAAAATGGTGAAGAACTCCCCATGTTCAGAGAACATTGCCTGTGGCCACTGCTACACTACTTCATGACATTTGATTGTTTGCACCTTTTTCATGTAACACTGATTTCAGAAAGCTTCTAAGTTGTTGCTGTTGAAGTCCTTAGCAAAGGGAGTGAGAGTCACTGTGTGCTTTGGAACTTGCAAAGATTCTGCTTCACTATGTTGACATTATCACACCTAGAGTGGGATTTCTCATTCTGAGCTGTTAAGAATTAGCTTTTTTTTGCCCTTGTAGGAAACATCTTGTTTGCTCCCATCCCTATTACTTTGCAGCTCCCTGAGCAACAGTAGGAACCTAGCAGACACTGCTTGCTCAGAATTCCATTAGTAGGTCTTGTTTCCCAAGAAGCAAAGCAATGGAGGAACAACTCTTCTCCTTTTGCAAGACAGATCACTTCGTGAAACTCAAAAGCCCCTTGGCCAAACTCACTAGCAGAATACTTGGCTTCTGACAGGCAGCCACTGGCTGGCACCATCAGCACAAGTGATCTTCATCTAACAAGTACAAGCCTCAAACACAAACCTTTTCAGTAAGCCAGCTGACAAAGATACCTATGCAAGAGAAATATTAAAAGTGATTAAAACAGAATGATGTACAAATAAACCTTTAAAACCCAGCAGATGCAAGTTCTATGTTGCATTTAAAAATAGATTTAAATATATCCCCCGTAATTAGGATTTATAATAATATACACTTGTAACGCAAGTTCTAGTAAAATCTAAGATCTGGTTGTTGAGTTCACAGAACAGCCTGTTTACAGTATGTTACTGTCTTTAATATACAGCAGCTTCAGCATGAATACTACTTCACTTACTGGCAAACGCTCAGGTGATTTTGTTTTCTATCATCCAACATGAGTGAGCACACACACACTCAGAATTTTCTATTTAAGGCAAGTAATTGCTAAAACATGTACTGTCCAATCCATCTAGGTATGGTGTAAGTGGTTACAGTGCAAGCATTTGGACTTCCCCAAGTATCCTTCCCCAGGACAGCTGCTGTCAATGTCACCACCACATCTCACTGAGTTAGCTTTCAGCAACACTGCCTCTTCCCACCCCTTCTTGGGATAAGATAAACAGAAGACAAACATTTCAACACTGCATTAACATTTCAATTTCCCACCTCAAATAGAAACAGTTTTGTACAGTGGCTGTATATGCAAACTGGCCAGAATGGTTTACTCCCACAGACAAGGCTGCCATCACACCAACCCATCAATAGGTAAGTTATAATTAGCTACAATTTACATGTACTCATGTCCTTTCCCTACTATGTTTAAGGGGGAAATAACTTCACACCACCTTGCTGGAGTTACTCATCGCTATTAAAAAAAAGCCCCATCATTGCCAAGTGTTATTAGCTCCAAGAAATACAACGCTCTGGTCTCTTAGTAAGGTGCAGCAAGTGAGAAAATGTAGCATGAAGGCACTTGATACCAGCTAAGTTTCATACAGTAGTTTCACTTCAGAATAAAGGATACAATAATAAAACCAGACTGTTAAAACACACTCTAAATTTGGCAAGGAAACTTGCTTAAGACCAAGCTAGTGTAGTAGGACAACCTGTAAATGTGCAAAAACATGGAGAAGGCTCACTTGTCTTGATGCTATAAGCTAAATCCAGACACAGTCAGGTGCTGAGCATTATTCCTAGCTTCGAAGTAAGAAGTATCAGTTTCATCATCCGGCTGAGGTATAAATGGCATAGTTTGATTTTGTAGATTATCCCAGTCCACACCATGAAAGAAAGGGTGATTTTTTAGTTCTGAAACAGAAGTCACACAAGAATTATAAACATCCTCTTGTCCAAGCCCCATAGTCACTTTGTTCCCTTGATGGATAACTGTAACCTCAGTGGGATCAAACGACTGTCATGCCAACCAACTATCTTCCCCCAGCTGGAGAACCTGTTCTACACAGCAGATCAGAGGTGCCCATGGGGCATGTCTCATATGCTAGGACACCACAGAAATTTTAAGCATCACTTCAATGCCCGTTTCTCATTTTGCCAAAGGTCTGTGCTGAGTGAACATGTGAGAGTCCCTCCCACCTTTTTCCACTCTTCCAGGCCACCTGCCTTTTCCTAGCTCATGGCTTCACTCCTCTGCACAGTCCTCTCTGGCCTCCTACTGGACACAGGAGTCTAAACACTGTTACGGTAAAAGATACCACAGACCACCAGATTCATCTTTCCCAGCCCAAAGGTTAACTAACCAAGCTGCAAGACTTGCTGACTCAAGGAGAACTCCCTTGTCCTATCCATTCTGGCCAGAACATGACTTCCTGCCACACAAGGTCTGGTGTTTCCTCTGC